GTTTAAATGCCCATGTTCTCTCTTCATGATTTTTTTTTTTTTAATATCCTTCCTTCCTTCTTTCTCTTGTAAGATAGGGATAGTCTCTGATAGTTCAAAGAATCTGGCTAGTAGGTTTAGTAAGACCTAGGGACAGATAAAGGTGGCCAATCGAGAAAAAGTTAATACTGGTCCTGTCTTTATCTGTTCTCAAAAAGTTTTAGTTTTCCAACCTCGTATTTCCATCTATTGATACTCTGAATTAGACCATAGTCTCTTGATTCTTTTCCATGCACCTGCTCTATCTCCCTAATATTGGATCATTAGAAACATCTCTTTCTTGGTACTCTCTCCTCTTAGGGATTCACCAAGGATTTAAATGCCCCCTTCCTCATGTCTACCATGTGACTAATGAGAAGGCAAGTTTGTAAAAGAGAGGCTTATTCTCTCCTGATAACTGACTTCTTTAAAAATTGAGGTATAACTGACATATAAAACTATACTGGTTTTCACATATGCAATATAATGATTTGATATTTGTATATATTGAGAAATAATCACCACAGTAAATACAGTTAACACTCATCATCATACATGGTTACAAAATTTTTTTTCTTGTGATGAGAACTTTTAAGATCTACTCTTTTAGCAACTTTCCAATACACTATACAGTTATTATTAACTATAGTCACCATGTTGTACATAACATCCCTATGACTTATTAATTTTATAATTCGAAGTTTGTACATTCTGATCCCTTTCACCAATTTCACCTACCTCCACACCCCATTTCTGGAAATCTATTCTCTATATCTGAGCTTGGGTTGGTGTTTGTTTGTTTGTTTGTTTGTTTAACATTCCACACATAAGTGAGACATACAATATTTGCCTTTCTCTGTCTCACTCATTCAGTTAGCATAAAAATGCCCTTAAGGTCTATCCATATTATCAGAAAATTTTATGATACTTTCTCACAAAAACATAATATACTTACAACAGAAAAACACAAATTAAAAAAAAATCATCTATATCACTCAAACAACCACAGTTAATCTTTGCATATAAACAGATAAACAGAGAGAATCTCAAATTTGTGAGATACTTTATATTCATAATTCAATTTTTAAAATGGTTGATTATGCATATAGTATGCATTTCCCTTAATTTGGCAGTATTCCAAAAACATCCTTCCATGTCAGGAGTTGTATTTCTGCAATAATTATAATGTCTACATAATATTTCATTACATAGATGTACCATAATATCTTTCTTTTCAAAATGAGTATTAGTAAGTAATTCCCCACTAAAGGATAAACAACTACTTCAATTTTCAAATGATTATTCAAGTGAATGAAGAGGAGGGAGTTGTCAAAAAGTCACTCTAAAATTTAAATCTCAGAGGATCCCTGGGTGGCTCAGCAGTTTAGCGCCTGCCTTTGGCCCAGGGTCCCATGTCGGGCTCCTAGCATGGAGCCTGCTTCTCCCTCCTCCTGTGTCTCTGCCTCTCTCTTGCTCTATGTCTATCATAAATATATAAATAAATCTTAAAAAAAATAAAATAAAATTTAAATCTCAATAATTGAGAAGATGAACTACATAATGAAAATCTTTGAGTACTACGCTTGATACTCACCAGGGGAAACAAAACTATAATCTGAGAAAAAGATTTTTATGCAATAAGGAAAAGAAAGGAAATGAACACATATATATAGCTTTTCAAATTGTCTATCACAAATGACCAAGGCTTAAGGCAGATGTGGTTTTCTGGATTGATGTTGTATAAATCTACTCATTCATCTTACATAAGAGAAAAACAGGAAAAAAAAATCTGTCATAAGATCAATGAGCCGAGTCAAAAATAGGCTTCCTCAAATAAATTGAGTATGATAAAGAATTTCAAAAAATCCAGAAATTTCTTCTATAGATTTTCAAAACCCTGAAAATAATAACATGCAGTTATTGTTTCTGAATATGAAAAAAAAATGGGTGAAAGTCTTTAGAATGAAAAGATTTTTCTAAGCATGCTGCAAATATGTGAACACAAAAATTAACTCCACATCACAATAGGCTGAAATAAATGAAAAAACTGAGAAAAATACCTGTAACATATGACAAATAATTAACATTTAATATACAAAGAGTTATTAATAGTCAATGAAAAGTCAAAACTATTCCCAAAGAGCTAAATGGGCAGAAGAGTGAAAAAGCAATTCACAAAGCAAATAAAAATGGGCAATAAACATGAGAAATGCTGAACCTCAGAGAAATGTTAAAAATTGACTAAAACCCATGTTGGTAAGGCTTCTTATGTAAGAAGACAATATAAATTAGCCTTTCAGAAGGACGGTCTGCAACAAGTATCAAAATATAAAGTATATATGGCCTTTGAGTCATTAATCTCACTTCTAGGAATTAACACTATGAAAATAATTATATAGAACATACATTTATATACCGCAGTTGTGGAGGCCGAGAAAATTAAGGCCATTCCACTTTAAGTTCAGCCTTAGCACAAGTACAGCCATGCCAGGCCCCTGGGAATAAGAGCTGAAATTTACATTACTTCAGTTACAGGAAGAAAATAGCTTACAGCTTAATGTCCTAGAAAGCCCCATATTAGAATAAAAACAGAGCCCAAGCCAAGGGCAGGAAGCCCCTATTAGAATGAGAACAGAGCTCAATGCCCTTGAAGGCCCCATGTCAAAATGTAAACAGAACTTGAGGAATTCTTCCATCCTTTCTGGAGGTCCCCTAGACCAGCCTTTAAAACTAAGCTAAAACCCATCTCGGGGTCCAAGTCCCTGGTCCGCTGTGTCGGGTATACTTGGACCCAAGCTCGAGCTTGTAAATAAACCCTTGTGTGTGTTTGCATCGGTGTCGGCTCCTTGGTGGTTTCTCGGATTCGCAATCTTGGGCACAACAGCAGTATTGTTTATAAGATATGAAAATAAACCAACGGTCTAAAAATGGGAGAACCAGTGAAATAAAGTATGGTACACAGAGGTATGTACAACAGAATGTTATGTGTAGCTATTAAAAATGTTGACAGTACATTTACATTTGTTGGTGTTGAAAGCCATCCATGAGAGGGTTTTCAAAAAGAAGAGGTTAGAGCATAGACAATATGGTGTCATGTTATTGTCAAGTTGTTACACAGATTGGTACGTAGGAATGTCTGAAAGGATGGTCACCAAAACACTATGATTTCTGATGATTTTTACATACTTCATAATACTTTCCTGGATTAAAAAAATAATGTGTCACTTTTACAAAAATAACACTCATAAATTATGACAGACTCAACTGTTTCATTCCCAGCAAGGCAGACTCTAGTATATCTAGTTTGGCTATCAAGGCCAGCTGGTTGTTTTATGTTTGCTTTGTTTTCTCGTTACTTTAATAACAAAGTTTCAAAAATCCTTGGAATTTCCTGAGCCATACTGTCATTGTTATGCTAAGGAGGGGACTCCGGGTGGGCCCAGAGATAGCTACAAAATTGGGATTTTCAGCCATTGACCTCCATGAAGTGGAAGGAGGGCTGAAACTGAGTTCAGTGTGTGCCTACACAGTGAGGCCCCCATAAAAACCTTGGACAAAGGTGAGTGGAGCCTCCAGGCTGGCAAACACAGTGATGTGTGAGGAGAGTGATATGCCCTGACACCACAGGGAGAAGGCATGGAAGCTCTGTATTCCTTCCCAGATCTCACTCACCTTATGTGTATCCTTTATGATAAAACTGTAGTAGCACCTTCATGAGTTCTCTGAGTCATTCCAGTGAATTATCAAAACTGAAGAGGGTTGTTAAGAACCTCCTAGATTGGCAGCCAGTTGGTCAGAGGTGTGGGGAGCCTGGGGATATCCCACCCCAGACTTTCAACTAGAGTCTGAAGTAGGGGTGGTCTTATGGAGGACTCTGCCCTTAACCTGTGGGATTTGTACTAACTCCAGGTAGTTAATGGCAGGATTATATAGCAGCACACCTAGCTGGTGCCAGATCAGTCAGATTGACACAGAACAATAACCTTCCTAAGTAATGATATATTATTTTCTATAATGGATACTTTTGAAAGTAAAGAAAATGTCGTAATTTGGTAAATGGCAATAGTTTTGTTGATCAGATTTTGTGATTTTTCTACCATAAACCATAAAATGCAAGAAATGTTTATCCTTCATGGATACCCAAATGGCTCCTCAAATAAGTTATTTATGCAGCTCTCCCAAGCTATACTCCCACATATGTGTACCCCTATTCACTACTATACTGCATTTGTCTATGTTTCTCATATGCTGGACTGTGAATTCCAAAGCAAGGAACACATCTTATTCACCTCTGCATTCTCAGAATCTAGCCCAGTGCCTAAAATATGGCAGATGCCTCACAAGTTTGGTGAATACATGAGTCAACAAAATAGCTCTATCAAAATCACTTTTGCGAAGGAAGGTGCTTAGTGGGTGCTTTCGTTTGAAAACTAAATACTGTGTATGGTAGATCAAAGAGGTAAGTAACCTCTGCAGGAAAATAGTAAGTAAAAATAAGAATTCCTTCCTCCCTTCCTCCCTCCCTCCCTCCCTCCCTCCCTTCCTTCCTTCCTTCCTTCCTTCCTTCCTTCCTTCCTTCCTTCCTTCCTTCCTTCCTTCTTTCCTTTTCTTTCTTTCCTTCTTTAAAAGATTTATTTATTTATTCATTCAGAGAGAGAGAGAGAGAGAGACGGACAGACAGAGACACAGGCAGAGGAAGAAGCGGGCTCCCTGCAGGGAGCCCGATGTGGACTCAATCCCGGGTCTCCAGGATCACGCCCTGGGCTGCAGGCAGTGCTAAACCGCTGCGCCACCGGGGCTGCCCAGGAATTCCCTTAAATACAGCAAGAAAAAAAAAAGAGGATGATGTTAAATATTGTTTTTCTCTTCTCTTTGACTTTTGTGGTCTCTTATTACAACAGAACATTAGAAATCCAAGTTTGAAGGACTTTTTTTCCTAGTCAGAATGCTATTATCCTTCTTACTACAATTTATTTACTCACCTTTTAATCTAGCATCACCACCAAAAGCACCACAGCCCCAGTTTCCTGTAGCCACTGCAGAAAGATTCTCTGAAGAAACTCCAGGACGGAGAAATCCACAGTAAGCCTGCAGGATGAAAGAAACATCACAATATGTGAGGGACTAGACACTACCAGCATTTCAGACTAATGTATTAGGATTAGGATCAGGAACTATTATCAAGCTTATGTCTTTTTTTTTTTCTAAGGGGCCAAAGTAGAGGGAAATGCAGAAAATCCTCAGATTATACAAGAGGGGAATAAGAAACGATCAGTTCTAATATTTGATTTGATGCTGGACAAATCAAAGCCGTTAAACCAATACAGGTCTCAGTTTCTTCATCTGATTCAAATATAAATTGAAAGATCAGAGATATTTCAAGAACTGATGGGATCCCAATTACAAACTACCAGGATTTAAAGGGAGGAAAGGGAGAGGGAGGGGCAAGATGGCGGAAGAGCAGGGTCCCCAAATCACCTGTCCCCACCAAATTACCTAGATAACCTTCAAACCATCCTGAAAATCTACGAATTCGGCCTGAGATGTAAAGAGAGACCAGCTGGAACGCTACAGTGAGAAGAGTCCGCGCTTCTATCAAGGTAGGAAGACGGGGAAAAAGAAATAAAGGAACAAAAGGCCTCCGAGGGGGAGGGGCCCCGCGAGGAGCCGGGCTGAGGCCGGGGCGAGTGTCCCCAGGACAGGAGAGCCCCGTCCCGGAGGAGCAGGAGCTGCACCAACCTTCCCGGGCGGGCGGAAAGGGGCTCGCAGGGAGTTGGAGCAGGACCCAGGAGAGCGGGGATGCCCTCGGGCTCCCGGGGACACTAACAGACACCTGCGAGCGCAGGAGAGTGCTCCGAGCTCCCTAAGGGCTGCAGCGCGCACGGAGGGACCGACCAGAGCAGCTCGGAGGGGCTCGGGAGCGGCTCCAGGGAGGGAGCGCGAATCCACCAGCGCAGGCCCGGGAGCACAAGGCGCCGGGACACAGCCCAGGATCCGGCCTCCCCCGGGACAGGCAGAGGCCGGGAGGGCCGGAGACAGCGAAGACGCTCCTGCCCCGAGCTGAGCAGATCAGCGGCCCCGCCCCGGAGCCTCCAGGCCCTGCGGACGGAGAGCCGAGAGCCCCGAGCCCCGTAGTTCCCCGTAGTTCCTGCGGAGGCTGAATCCAGGCTTCCAGAGTTGCCATAGCAACTGCGACTGTTCCTCCTGGGGCCCGACGGGGTAAACAACCCCCGCTGAGCCCTGCAGCAGGCAGGGGCAGAGCAGCTCCCCCAAGTGCTGACACCTGAAAATCAGCACAGCAGGCCCCTCCCCCAGAAGACCAGCTAGACGGACCAGTGATACTCCCCCGTGTTCCAATACAACTTGTTTTTGGCCACTCTGCACTGAGCAAAATGACTAGAAGGAAAACCTCACTTCAAAAGAAAGAATCAGAAACAGCCCTCTTTCCCACAGAGTTACAAAATCTGGATTACAATTCAATGTCAGAAAGCCAATTCAGAAGCACCATTATACACTTACTGGTGGCTCTAGAAAAAAGCATTAAGGCCTCACGAGACTTCATGACTGCAGAATTTAGATCCAATCAGGCAGAAATTAAAAATCAATTGAATGAGATGCAATCCAAACTAGAAGTCCTAACGACGAGGGTTAACGAGGTGGAAGAACGAGTGAGTGACATAGAAGACAAGTTAATGGCAAAGAGGGAAACTGAGGAAAAAAGAGACAATCAATTAAGGGACCATGAAGACAGATTAAGGCAAATAAATGACACTCTAAGGAAGAAAAACCTACGTTTAATTGGGGTTCCCGAGGGCGCCGAAAGGGACAGAGGGCCAGAATATGTATTTGAACAAATCCTAGCTGAAAACTTTCCCAATCTGGGAAGGGAAACAGGCATTCAGATCCAGGAAATAGAGAGATCCCCCCCTAAAATCAATAAAAACCGTTCAACACCTCGACATCTAATAGTGAAGCTTGCAAATTCCAAAGATAAAGAGAAGATCCTTAAAGCAGCAAGAGACAAGAAGTCCCTGACTTTCATGGGGAGGAATATTAGGGTAACAGCAGACCTCTCCACAGAGACCTGGCAGGCCAGAAAGGGCTGGCAGGATATATTCAGGGTCCTAAATGAGAAGAACATGCAACCAAGAATACTTTATCCAGCAAGGCTCTCATTCAAAATGGAAGGAGAGATAAAGAGCTTCCAAGACAGGCAGGAACTGAAAGAATATGTGACCTCCAAACCAGCTCTGCAAGAAATTTTAAGGGGGACTCTTAAAACTCCCCTTTAAGAAGAAGTTCAAGTAACTCTGAACGTGAATGGGCTTAATGACCCCATCAAAAGGCGCAGAATTTCAGACTGGATAAAAAAACAGGACCCATCTATTTGCTGTCTACAAGAGACTCATTTTAGACAGAAGGACACCTACAACCTGAAAATAAAAGGTTGGAGAACCATTTACCATTCAAATGGTTCTCAAAATATACCCTAAAAACTATAGAACACTTCTGAAAGAAATTGAGGAAGACACAAAGAGATGGAAAAATATTCCATGCTCATGGATTGGCAGAATTAATATTGTGAAAATGTCAATGTTACCCAGGGCAATTTACACGTATAATGCAATCCCTATCAAAATACCATGGACTTTCTTCAGAGACTTAGAACAAATTATTTTAAGATTTGTGTGGAATCAGAAAAGACCCCAAACAGCCAGGAGAATTTAAAAAAAAGAAAACCATATCTGGGGGCATCACAATACCAGATTTCAGGTTGTACTACAAAGCTGTGTTCATCAAGACAGTGTGGTACTGGCACAAAAACAGACACATAGATCAATGGAACAGAACAGAGAACCCAGAAGTGGACCCTGAACTTTATGCTCACCTAATATACGATAAAGGAGGAAAGACGATCCACTAGAAGAAAGACAGTCTCTTCAATAAATGGTGCTGGGAAAATTGGACATCCACATGCAGAAGAATGAAACTGGACCACTCTCATGCACCATACACAAAGATAAACTCAAAATGGATGAAAGATCTAAATGTGAGACAAGATTCCATCAAAATCCCAGAGAAGAACTCAGGCAACACCCTTTTTGAACTTGGCCACAGTAACCGGAGAAGGACAAACAGTGTATGTTCTCATTCATTTGGGGAATATGAATAATAGCGAAAGGGAATATAAGGGAAGGGAGAAGAAATGTGTGAGAAATATCAGAAAGGGAGACAGAACATAAAGACTTCTAACTCTGGGAAATGAACTAGGGGTGGTGGAGGGGGAGGAGGGTGGGGGTGAATGGGTGACGGGCACTGAGGGGGACACTTGACGGGATGAGCACTGGGTGTTATTCTGTATGTTGGTAAATTGAACACCAATAAAAATTAATTTATTAAAAAAAAAAATAAAGGGAGGAAAGGCACTTAACACACGGTTTTATTTGAAGGCTTCCAATCACCATTTTTTCCATTTTGCTTCCTCAATACTCATTTTCTGAATTATTGGGACTAGATTAATAACTATGATTTCGCTTTTAAATGTGCTTCCTGCCACTGAAATGCTTAATAATGAAAAAACAATCATTTATTTAAAAGGGATTCCTACACCTGGTTATCAAGTAACCTTTAAGATCCCCTCCAGCTCTAAAATTCTCTGGTTTCACAGCTCTGTTTACGCCAGAATATTTTAAAATTTGCTGGTCACCCGAGAAAAGTACAATATATCTTAAGGATGCTGGCTAAGTATTAATTAGAGGAATGGCTAATTTGGTATATGAGAAGACTGCCATTTAAGGTCCCAGAGTTTTTGTTTCCTATTCTTTGCTGTCAGCCCAGTTGGTCTTTCTGCCTCCTTAGGGTTCTTAGTTTTCTGGAACTATCAGACTATATTAAGAGGTTTAATTATAATAGCAAATCGAATCTCCCCTGGGTTCTCTCAAGTACCAAACAAAGTCTAAAATATAGCTTATGTATAATAGTAAATAAAATAAAAAGAATGATGTGTGACAAATGTTCCCAGAGAAAAACCAAGGATAAAGAAAGATGTTTCTATGAAACCCACACATAGAAATATAGTAAATTGTTCTCTGAAGTTTCCACAAAGGTATAAAAATTTATCTTACACACTGTCTGGATAGATTAACAAGGCTATTTCTTCCACCCCCTCCTAAACTGTAAATCCTGACAGATATTAATTATAAGTTGGTACCAGAGCATTATTCAATGCTGTGGTATAGAGCTTACACTAGAACTCACAAATTACCTGTATAATCAGATACATGGAGCTTCTGAAAATCTTTTTCATATCAAAAATATCAGAGTTCAATTTTTTTTTTTTTTTTTTAGTAGGTTCTTAAAAGATACAGAGTCTGGGGATCCCTGGGTGGCTCAGCAGTTTAACACCTGCCTTTGGCCCAGGGTGTGATCCTGGAGTCCTGGTATCAAGTCCCATATTGGGCTCTCTTGCATGGAGCCTGCTTCTCTCTCTGCCTTTCTCTGTGTATCTTATGAATAAATAAATAAAATCTTAAAAAAAAAATAGAGTCTCTGTTTAAGGCAATAAGGGGTCAACAAACTGTCAGAATAGACGTAACTTTGCCACTTGGTTTCCTGTCAAATTCTCCTTAACAAGCCTAGATGAAGAAGATGATTTCTTAGGTTCCTATTGGTGCCACCTCTCTTTTATCCTGTCAGAATGTCTTTAGCCTCTTCCTACACCAGTCTTTGGGGAGACTCATCTTTAATGAGCAAACATAGCTTGGTGAAACTAGAGCCTAACAATAGCGAATTTGAACCTATTATTTGTCCTATTATTAGGACAAAATCTAAGGTAAAGTGCTAATCAATTGTATGAAAAAAACAAAACAAAAAAACTCCACAACTACCCTGAAAAATGGCAATAACAAAAACTATAAAACTGACATTAATCTGCATTTAATGTTTTGATCAAAACAAATCAAACTTTATTTATTTATTTATTTTAATTTATGATAGTCACACAGGGAGAGAGAGAGAGAGAGAGGCAGAGACACAGGCAGAGGGAGAAGCAGGCTCCACGCACTGGGAGCCTGACGTGGGACTCGATC